TCATTTTTTTCTAATGTTCTAATGAATATAGTGTTATAAGAATGATATAACCGAATGATTATGTATATTTGTGTTGCTTATGTATAAATATTACACCATTTTTAACTAATTCGTAATTTTAGATTAGACTAACAAAATGAATTTTTCATATGTAATTATTTTAGAATATATAGATAAAACAATCCACAAATCCAAACACAAACTAAATAATGAATGATGTTTCGTTGAATTACACATTGTAATTACTAATAGTTCTTGATCTCCCTATGACTAATTCTTACTTAATCTTCCTTTTTGGAACTCTTTCACCATTTTCCCAGAGGTGTTTTCTTTCTTTCAAGCTCGGACAATAACCAATTATTTATTAAATTGTATATCTAAATTTAAAAATGCTATCATATACATGTTACCTTAAAAATATTTACAAATAACAAAATCTAAGATGATGTTTCCACCTCAATTTTTTTTCCTTTTTTCTTCAGTGTATTCAACATTTTTTTCATTGTATTTGCCTTCTTCAACTTCTTCTTATTTTTCTTAGTCTTCTTCTTTTAATGTTCTTCATCCTCATCTTTTTTTTTTTTAACCTTCTCCACCATCTTCGTCTTCTCTGACATCTTATTCTTCTTCTTTTTCTTCCGTCGTTTTCCTTTTCTTCTATGTATTCTATTTTATTTTCTACTTTTTCTACATCACCTATATCTTTTAGTTTTAATTTCTTCCTCATATTTTTCTTAATTGTTTTTGTTGTTTCTAAATTTTTTCTTTTTCATTGTCTTTGTCTTCTTCTTCTTTTCTTTTGGTTTTTATTATCCTTTTCTTCATTCTCTTCATTCATCGCATTTATCTCTCTGCCTTCTTCGATTTTCATATATCTAACTTTTTTTTGCTCCTTCCCTTTGGTCACTTTCTCATAATTTTTACTTTTATTTTATTTTTATGATTCCTTCATCATTTTTAATGTCTTTGTTCTCATACTTTCTGAATTTTTCTTCCTTGTTTTATCTTCTTATTATGTTTTTTTGAACATATTTTGCAAATAAACCAATCAAAATTTATTGTTCTCGTCAGTATTCATTTTGGTTATATATATAATTTTTGAATTCGTTCGGTATCACATAGATCATGTGATTGAGAAAAAAAAATAAATAGTACTTAAAGTTTCAAAACCACTCATTTCTAACCCATTATCATTATCGATTGGGTACAAAGTATTTTGGTAATTATTAAGACTCCAAAATAATTCATGTCATCAGCATCAACCAAGTCTCCCCTTGTTCTTTTTACTCATACTCTATCATTCTTCCCTTTTCCACATAATTGTTCTTCGTCTTCTTCTTTTTCGTCTTCTTTACCTTTGATTTTTCTTCTTCCTTGTGTTTTCCTTATGTTTCTTTATTGTCTTAAACTTTTACTTCTTTTTCTTTATTTTTTCCATATCCTCTGAATGCTTATCAGATATGAGATCTCTTCTTTCATGCGATCAAAATCTCACATGTATTGTAAAAAGATACAATTGGCGCTTCTAATTTTTTTTTTCGGCGGAATGAAATTGACATGTTCTTTATTTGGAGTATGATGAGACCCAAAAACTATGTATTTTCTTTTGCCTAGAGTCTCATGCATTTGCAGCATTTCCCTTAGATCCTGTGTACACAAAATATCATTAGAATTGCATCCATAAAATAGGAACCGCACTAAGTATCTTCAAAAAATATATACCAGACGATAATGTGGTAAAACACGAATTTCACATGGAGTTGCATAAGTCTAAAGCATGCGTGAGAGTCTGCATTTGCTATAGATTCCACAACTCCCTTCACTGCACTATTTGCGTGGTTCATCTCATCTGTATGTTGAACAGATAAATAAATAAAAATTATATACAGATATATGTGTGTGTGTGTGTGTATGAAAAGTATCTATAACATAAAAAGTTTTATAGAATTTAATGAATTGAGAAAGTAGAGCAGCAAACATCACTTTTATCTTTGGTTAGTCTCATCCACTTTCCAGCCATCTATCTTTAAACCCTACGGGTCTATATATTTTGAACTACCCATGTCAAAAAGCATCAACTTTCCCTCATTTGGCACAACTATGATCAACAAAAAGAAACAATTAATTACTTTTAAATTGTAGTAGACATAAATTTATAAAGCTAAATATGCTTCCATTCATTATTAAAAACCATGCAGGGGAGCTTCTTTCATTGCAAAGTGTGCCCATTACTTCAGGCCTAGCGTTGTATTATTTGTGAGTGGATTCAAAACAAGAGTGGTTTTGTGCTCAAATGAACTTTATGGAAAGAGACTGATAAATGTACAATAGAAGTAGCTCATAGAGCTTTATTAAATGCAAGAAAGTAAATGAAAGTAAGAAGCTTTAAACTGTAAACAAGATCAAGTAGATTTTGTTAATACCATATAGATTGAAGAAGGAGAGTTATCTCGAAACAACTCTCAAGGTTACAATACGAGTTCTATTAAGAAAAGAATTTACACTACTTGCTTAAATCCTAAACACATGGGCTAATAAACTTCTCATGAGATACTATCTTGGGCTTCTTACGGATCCTCTTATCTATATATTTATTTGTGTAGTGATTTGCTTACATGTCGCGCTCACAGCGATTTTCACAGTATTTCAATTACGTATCAGTTCTAAAATGAGTTTCGGTTGACATTTTTACCCCATTTATCAATTATGTTTTTTTTTTTTATTGGTTCTTATCTGATGATGTGTTAAAAATAATTTAAAACAAACCATTCTAAATTATTGTGGTTTAATGTTTTATTTTGCTGTCAAATCAAACCGTTTCTTTTATAAAACCGAAATTTAGTAAAAATTTAATAAAAAATTAAAAAATTATATTTTTATTTGTGTAGTAATTTGCTTACGTGTCGCACTCACAGCGATTTTTCATAGTGTTTCGTTTACGTGTCAGCTCCAGAATGAGTTTCGGCTGCAAAAAGACATTTTTACCCCATTTACTAATTATGTGTCATTTTTTATTGGTTCTTATCTAATGATGTGTTAAAAATAACTTAAAACAAACTGTTCTAAATTATTGTGATTTAATGTTTTATTTCGCTGTCAAATCAAATCATTTCTAAAATTTTATAAAACCAAAATTTAGTAAAAATTAACAAAAAATTAAAATTCTATATTTTTGTGTAGTGATTTGCTTACATGTCGCGTTATGTGTCGCGCTCACAGCGATTTTCAGTGTTTCTTTTACGCATCAGCGCCAAAATGAGATTCAGCTGCAAAAAAAAAAATATTTTTACTTCATTTACTGATTATGTGTCATTTTTTATTGATCTTATCTGATGATGTGTTAAAAATAACTTAAAACAAAATGTCCTAAATTATTATGGTTTAATGCTTTATTTCGCTGTCAAATCAAACTGTTTCTAAACTTTTATAAAACCGAAATTTATTAAAAATTTAACAAAAAATAATCAATAAATAGAATGTCTAATGGTATGATGGTATTTGTGATCTATAAATATGTGCATGATTTCTCTCTAATTCTCTCACACCTTTTCTAAATTGTTTAACTTTTCGTTCTTTTTCAAATAAGTTCGTACAGTACTTCAAAAAACTAGGTACGTCTTAAATACAATGATAAAAAAGAAATTAAACTATTTAAACTAAATGATTTGAATACTAATATGTTTTATCTACATTCTTCTATACTGTTTTCACGATCATATCTTCAAATATTAAAATGTAAAAAATATAATAAACAAATATACTCAATAATAAATAAAAAACAAATGGTTTCAAATTATTATTAGATTCTCAAACAATAAAATGAAAAATTATATGTCCACGCAAGACATGGACAAGTTCACTAGTTATTAATTAACTACGAAAATTTTTGAATACATTATCCGTTTATGACCCCATAATTTTTGTTTACTTGCAAAGCAAGCTCATTGAAATCTACATGAACACATTCATGAAACACTCTTCATCAACAAGCGATTCACAAGACCTCTTACACATAACACGGCTTGATTCATACAGTGTCTGTTCTGCACATAACATGCCAATATACTTTCAGAAACACTCACTCCTTAGCAACACAAACGACCTGTTTACCAATATTTTTACCGGAAAACAGTCCGACAAGTGCAGCTGGAGCGAGCTCAAGGCCTTCACACATATCTTCGATGTACACAATCTTCCCTTCCTTGTAATATCCTTTGACATGTTCAAGAAACTGTGGGAAAATATGGAGGTAATCGCTCTGTAAAAACCCTTCTAATCTTACGCGTTTGGGGATCGCATTGTACAGATTGTTGATTCCTTGCGATGAGCTTGAGAGGCTTTGCAAAGACACCATTCCACAGAGCGCAATTCTTCCACGGACCTTCATGTTAAGGAGCGCTGCATCAAGCATGGATCCACCCACGTTATCAAAGTAGATATTGATCCCTTCAGGGAAATACCTGTTAGTAAGAATGAAACATTTCAGCATGATGTTTGCAAAACCCACAAGCATTTTATGATAAATCTAAAGGGCATAATCACAGAATCTTACTATTCCCAAAACACTAATTCAAGCTGAACCTTACAATATACTTACCTCTTCAAAGCAGCATCAAGATCAGTCTGTTCCTTGTAGTTAAAGGCTTCATCAAACCCGAGCTTGTCTTTAAGAAGATCAACCTGAAATTATGTCCCACATAAGTTACAGACCTATCATTAAAGAAACAAAATCAAGAATGGTTACTATATATTAAGTTTTGAGACAAATCAATCATATAAACCTTTTGTTCACTACCGGCGCTCCCAACAACGTAGCAGCCGTGCAACTTAGCAAGCTGACCAACAAGTTGTCCTACAGCTCCTGAAGCTGCAGAAACTAAAACACTTTCCCCTTTCTTGGGAGAGCATATCTCGTAAAACCCTGCATATGCTGTAAATCCAGCCATCCCTGTAAAAAGTAACCGATACCAAGATTATACAAACTGTTTTATCAAACAAAATGATTGATTCCTCTTTGGCTAAACAATGGGTCGTACCAAAAAGCCCAAGATGATAAGAAAGTGGAATGCCATCGTCTAACTGAATCTTTCTCAACTGCAGCTCATTTGAGCTACGAAGAAGACTGTATTCTTCCCAACCAGTAATCCCGGAGATTATGTCGCCGGACTTGTAATTAGCGTCATCAGAATCTATCACCCTTGCTAAACCGAACCCTTCAATACGCTGCATCAAGATTTGAAAACTATAAGTCACTTAAGGCTGTTTATTTGACACAAATGTGTAGCAGTGAAAACTCAAGAAACATGTTATCTTCAAAAGAAATGTAAAACCATTGACCAACAAAAGTAGACACATTTTAAGAACTACGCAGCAAAACATCGAACACTTGTTCTGCAAAATTACTCTTTTACAGGAAAACAACGTTCGTCACCCCACATTTGAGCTCCCAAAAGAGCAAAAATTACCCAGAAGACCAAATCACAGCTTCGATTGCCAAAAAGACAGAAAACAAAAATCAAATTTTGGGAAAAATCGAGTTTGTGCAATCTATACTTGACATGTTAAGAGTCTTCAAAAGAATGTGAAACAATTCACCAAGAAAAGTAGACACAAGGAACTACGAAGCAGATCTGTATACATTCGTTAGTTCGGGCAAAACATCGAACACTTGGTTCGCAAAATTCTTGCATTACACTTAAGAAATAACATTCTTCACCCAAATTTGAGCACCCAAAAAGAGCAAAAAAATACCAAATCACAGATTCATTTGCCACAGCACAGAAAAAAAAATCAAAAATTGAGTAAAATCGAGTTTGTGTAATCTATACTTGACCAGGAACAAAAGGCGGGAGGTAGGAACCGTGAAAGTCGCGCATACGACCTCTCATGTAAGGATCACAAGACAAGTATAGATTTTTAACGAGGAAACAAGAGGACCCTTTTGGTGCCTTAAGCTCAATTGTCTCTCCGAGCTTCACTACCAAATCTGTTTCTGTAGGAATGCCATCTACATACTTCTTCAGTATCACTTTCTTGTTCTCCACCACAGCAACTTCTTCCATTTTTTTTTTCTTTGCAAGAATCGTTTGATAATACGAGTCAGTGATGGAGAGGAAGATCAGTTTCAAATTTGCAATAGTTTGGTTGTTTAGACAAGAGTTTGGTTTTCGCACCAAAAAAAAAAAAGACGAGAGTTTGGTAAGACGAGTGTTTCTCGTTTGTCTGTCCGTGGAGGACTAATACTTTTAGTTTGATGAGGTGACAAGAGTTTGGTACATTAAATTACTTCAAACTAAAAGTAATTAAAAACAATTTTCTAAAATGGCACCCTTTTATTATGTTTTTGTTTCTAAGCTAGCTCCATATATTTAAATTTTAATAATAGCATAAGTGTAATTATTGCATATATTTATATGTATATACATTTTCTTATATTATATTATATAAGGAGTAAGAGAGAAGAGAATAGAGGATGAGTGGAGGAGATACACAAAACATGGCAAACTCTCGTATTTATACAAGAGTAAGTTGGTAAAGTATAAGGGGTAGGTGGTGACATATGGATAATTATTATCTTTATCTTATTTTATAACACTCGTCTTTATTATCCATTACCGTTGATATATTGCATACTGCCTCATTAAAACCTAGTTATGGAAAAATTTATTTAGGACAAAAACCATAATAAGGGAAAAAGAGTGCAGTACTGGTCTCCTTAGAAAATATACATAATCTTCTTTTCCTTTGAACACTTAGATGATATAATCTCTCCCTTGGATAGATGAGTCTGGACTTCTACGCCATTTGGATATCTATCATTTGCGTATTCTTCGATGTTTTGTTAAAAAGTTCAGCATAAAAAAACGGGTGGGACAAAAACCATGGTGAGGAAAAAAGAGTGCATTTATGCATATCATTATACTTCTTCTTTCAGAAGTATTCCTTTTTAGAGATCTATATTTTGTGTGTTTCTTGCTGCCTCGTTAAAAATCTTTTCATGGAAAATTTCATTGGAACAAAACCATGATAAGGGAAAAAGAGTGCAGGCACGCTCGTCTTCTAGACGAATTTCTTTATATGGTTCTTATGGAACCCATTAATATATGTCTTCTGAACATATATCTTTATTTGGTTCTTCAGAAACATTTTCACAAATATCTTCGGGACATCTTTATTCGGTTCTTCTGGAACTTTTTTACAAATGTCATCAGGATATTTCTCGATATGGTTTTTTGGAACCTTTTCACTAAAAAAGGGATTTTTATCTTACAAGTCCATCGGCCTCCCGCGCTTTAATTGAACCTGTAGTTCATTTTCTTTATTCTCATCAATAAATTGTTCCGGATGGAGCATTAGCAGCGGAGATATATGATTTTCTCACCCATTTTATATCTTTGAACGCATCAAGTAACTGATTTGTTGCAAATGTATAAATTTATGAACTCCACCTCAGGTTTATCGGTAAGAGGATCAAGATAAGCCAAAGTTTATATACACTTTTGTGTTATCTTTTGCTAATTCTCTAGATCCTCCCCCTTAACGCAGGGAATTCATTTTCACCAAAGTGGGGATCGGCAAAACATGCCGTAAACATATCTCCAGTTACCGGTTCAAGATATCACCTCTGGAATAGTCCTTTTTCTTATACTACCCGAGAAAACTCTTCAGGAGTTTTGATGATCATCATTCTTTATTTCAATCGAGTAGTGTTCCCGGGAACAGAATTCTAATATAATCCTTTAGTGATTAATTCCTCTAGAGGTTAATCTTTGGTTCCACCTTTTATAATGACATGGTGAATCGAGATCTCTTATCATCGATTCATTCAGGTATCTAATTTTATTTCAAACCATATCAACAATCTCTTCAGGAGATTAATCCTCTTTTGCTCCTTTTCTTTTAAGGATTTGGAACAAAAGTAGTCTATCATATTTCTACGTGTCATAGACTCAGAAGACCGTCTTTCAGAGACTTCTATTTTAAGTGGAGCTCAGCTGGGATGTGAGGTTTTTTTTTTCACTCAATATGAACTTCAGGTTCATATGAGGATCCATAATAATAATTAATCTCCTGACATCTCATCCATCAGTTGTTTACTGCATGCAACACTGTATGTTCTTTGCAATAACATGGAGATCACCATAACTAGTTTTGCAATCCCTTGGATTTTCTTTATTTTAAGCTCATTTTGAGTGCGAACATAATCTTCTGGATGTTCAGCTTACTCTTGATGTGTGATTCTTTAATTCTCCCCCTCGAGATGATGACACTTTTAAGGTTTATCCATCTCGAATTCAATCCCACTCTTGGACCAACACATATCCAATGAGCTTTTAAAAAAATGGTGATCCATCCATGGATGCTTTTAGGACATGCGATAGTTGAAAAAGCTTCTGGTTTTTCAACATGTATCCTCAATGATCTTATATCATTGGAACTATCGGGATGGCATAACCGGTTTATTCAATTAGTAAACTTCAGGTTTACTTTTGTATATACTTTTGCCATATTTCCTTTATTATCACATATATGCATGTCACCATCGTTTGCTCTTGTGAAGCATTTTTAGCTCTTCCGGAGCTTCTAGCTCTTCCGGAGCTTCTAGCTCTTCCGGAGCTTAACTTTTTTCGGAGCTTCTAGCTCTTACGGAGCTTTTAGCTCTCCCGGAACTTCTAGCTCTTGCTTTTAGCTCTTCTGGAGTTTCTAGCTCTTATGGGGCTTTTAGCTATTATGGAGCTTTTAGCTCTTCCGGAGCTTTCAAATTTTTTTAGCTCTTCTGGAGCTTTTAATTTTCAGATCTTTTTAGCTCTTCCGGAAGTTTTGACTTTTAAAGACATGGTTCGATGTCTTTAATCCATAACTAGATTCTCACCCGCCCATTGGTGGGCAGGCGTGATTGTTTTTGTTTTATATATTTAATTAATAGAGTAATTGAACAAAATCTAAACAATTATAAAATGATTTTGATTATGAGTAAATGCAAAAAAAAGTACGGAATATGTGAATGTATATTAAGTTTTGACTTTGTTTGAGGATAATATTGATATGACAGCTCCATTAAGGTTGTGCACACATGAAAAGGCTCGTGATAGTTTTACAGATGTTAAGCAATCAAAGTTTATCACATTTTTGACCAACCCTTTGTTATATTATAATGAAAGCCCAAACTTTATCAATTATATAAAGCAAAATAATGGTATGCCCAATAAACCGATGAATTAATTAGATATAAAATGCAAATGTATATATAAAATGGGACAAATTCGTTCACAATTTTAAAAATGATACACCATCAAAGCTCACTACCTTAGCAATTATAGAGTGTAAAGCATTGTAAAAGCCCAAAAAATCGAATTGTTAAGAAAACTGTAAATTTAAGTGTTGACAAAGTATGTCCTTTTTTTTGGCAAATACAAGATAATATCCTTTCATTTAATAATGTATATCTAATAATGATAAAATTAATCTAGTTAATAAGTTAATTTCCATATTTTTATTACACGATTCACTATAATTTATTAACCATCATTTAGATATGAAAATAAAATATGTTTACGTATATAAATAAACAACCATTGTAAAAAATAAAACAAAAATTAATAAGTTCAAGATATTAGATTCATTACATAAATGTAAATAGTAGGACATATCTCCTTTGAACAAAAATGTGTTATAGTTTAGACCGGTTTCATCTGCACATCTTAATTTTCTGGTTTGATATTTGACTTCTTGTCGGCCAAAACGAACCTGTTGATATAAATATGACTAGTTAGAAACTATAAATTATGATTTCATTTAACAATAAAGATAACACGGCTTACATGTACGCAAACTCTTGAATTTCAGTAATCTCTGGGTTAGAAAGAAATCCAGACCAACCTACTCCGTTTCTGACAATGGGTTCACCTACGAAGAAAAATATAATTGTAGCATTTGACACTGTTATATACTTTGGTAGAAGTTCAAATACCAAATTCAATAATAATATACATAGGGTATCTAACCTTTATAGAGACCAAGTCTCCACTCAGTTAACAGAACGAAAATGCGATCAGTCTTTCTCGATTTCTAGGAATTATCGAAACAAATTGTGCAGTTATCAAACACAAAACATTTGATAACAATATCCCTAAATATCAAAGTAAACATAACAACAATGAATAATACTTATAAAAATGAATTTGCATAACATATAGGAATACACTTACTAGAGATCTCTTATATGAAATTCAAGAAATTTCTTTGGCTGAATTCTTGAAATGGAGTCAAAGTCATTGCCCATGGATATTTCACCAACAAAAATCGATCACACTAACCAAGTCTATTTTTAAAAAAGAATGGAAGTTAAAATAACATTATAATTCTCTAACAAATAATGGACTAAATATTATTAAGAAAAATTAAATCAAATAAATCAATAAGGAAACCAAAATATTACCAACAGGAAAGACAGGATCCATTTTTTTCAATATTGATTTCTTCAAAGCTTTCTTCTACACTGTTTTTGCTTTCTTTAATTATGTCTGAGTAATTACTTTTAATTTGGGTTTAAGAGATTAATCGATGGGGATTTATATGTTCGATGAGGATTGCATGAGCTATTAAGCCAAATCTTAGAACTCTTTCTTCGAAACTTATTTTTAATGCATTAGAGTAGCATCATGAACTATAATATAATTTAGGTACTTAGTGCTGCGAGATTTTTTATTATCTACCTGATATAGTTTGAAAAGAGCAATTCTGCCATAGGAGACGAAAGCTACCTATAGGTGATTTGTGAATGTAGATTAGTCTTGTTCAAACTATTATGTGCACTTATTATCGGCGCCAGAGATGAAAGCTACTGGTTAGGGTTGTGGTTGGCAGTTGGTTATGATCATGAGAATGACTTAGTAATACAACTGTGCTCAAATTCTAAGAGTTTTAGCTAGGATCTTTTTATTTGCTTTTTAGCATGTTTTGAATCGATCATACCACAAATATATCCTGACAATTCAGCGCCATTTTTCTCTAGTCTTTCACCAATTTTTTAAAAGCAATCTTACTTTTATTTTCTTAGTTTCTTATTTTTTAAGCTATTTTTTTCCGTTTAGTTTAGGATTTACCTTTTTCGTGACACCAAAAACCCTTTAAATACAATTAGTTCTAAACTTCGTTACTCAATC